TTTTTTTTTATATTTCATCTCACACATTCTATAAAAAATATATTCAACTAAATTATCTATTAAAACTAATCAAACAGTTATGTATAGACTATGTGGTTCGAGGAGTGAGACTTGATGAACTTTTTTCTTTTCCTTTTCAAGAAACTTAGTTTTAGATGCGACCTCCAACGGATATTCTAAGAGATTTTCTTCTTATATATTGAAAAATTGCATGTAAAGAAGATAATTTTTCTCCGTAAATTCATTAAACCAAAAATTATGAAATAAAGAAAGAGAAGCACATAGTGGAATCGANGGATATTCTAAGAGATTTTCTTCTTATATATTGAAAAATTGCATGTAAAGAAGATATTTTTCTCTATAAATTCATTAAACCAAAAATTATGAAATGAAGAAAGAGAAGCACATAGTGGAATCGAAGTATTGTTACAATGATGAGATCGAAGAAAATAGAGATCAGGTAGCGACAATTGAAGCAAATTTGCATGAAAGAAAATCAGAGCGGAATCTAGTTGAATATATTTTGTGTATAGACTATGTAAGATGGTTATAGAAAGAAACTATAAAGGTGAAAATTAAGATAAGTTTTATTATTAATATGGTGAGCATAGAATGAAGTGGACTTAGTAAGCAGTGTTGTGAATATAACANAAGCAAATTTGCATGAAAGAAAATCAGAGCGGAATCTAGTTGAATATATTTTGTGTATAGACTATGTAAGATGGTTATAGAAAGAAACTATAAAGGTGAAAATTAAGATAAGTTTTATTATTAATACGGTGAGCATAGAATGAAGTGGACTTAGTAAGCAGTGTTGTGAATATAACAGTGATGAATTTAATAGTTTTATAATTTATAATTTAATGAGATGAGAATGGACCCGCCCAAAATTTATAATAAAAATTTATGAATAAATATTATATTTATTCATAAAAAGTTAGAAAATACATTATGGCTATCTTGTCGTTAAAAAAATCACTATCATATCAAAATTATGCNATGGACCCGCCCAAAATTTATAATAAAAATTTATGAATAAATATTATATTTATTCATAAAAAGTTAGAAAATACATTATGGCTATCTTTGCCGTTAAAAAAAATCACTATCATATCAAAATTATGCTATACTCTTAAATTTTACTTTGATTAATTTTAATTATTGATTAAAAATAATAAATTATTATAAAATAATAAAATTTTACAATTTTACAATTTGAAAATTAATTAATTTCACCTTCCTCCTCCTCATGATGTTCTCAAAATTGAAACCGTAAACAGCGACCCATCGACCAAAGAGACAAAGTCCAAGGAAGTCGACTTCTCTGACAGCTCTCTCTGCCAACCTAAATCTCTCTCCTTTGCACGACTCTCTCTCTCTCTCTCTCTCTCTCCACCACCCCTGAAGAAATGTCTGCATCATCTCCAGAAAATGCGTTACGTTATTGTTTCCCATCTATCCAGTTTACCCTCTTTACCTCTCCATACTTCTTTTTGAGATACACGTACACGAAGGAAGTTGGGTTGCTTTGATCGGAAGGGTTTTTTTTTTCCATTAAGAAGTTTCTGTGTTCTCAGCTCCATTGAAGAGGAAGTTGGAGAGAGAAGGAGTAGAGTAAACTTCGTGGTTTTGTGTTTGACGTTGTGTAGAGAGAGGAGGAAAGAGAATTGAAATTGTAGTGGGGAAAATGGACTTTTGCTCGAGGTTTTGCTGTGTAAAGGGTTTGGATCGGTACGTTTGTAATTTCTAAGCAAAATTCAATGTAGTCTGCTTTTATGCAAGTTAATTGATGTATTCTCAGTAGAACATACTTTGCCCTTCTGTTTGGATGCCGAGAAAATTTTTTTTTTTTCCCTGTACTGATGTTCTACTTTTCACTTATGAAACGTGATTGAGTTGCGTGTTTGATTTTTAATTGGCGGAAACAGTTGGAAGGAAATGGAGGGTTTTAATTTCTCTGCTGTAACTGTGGAGTGTTTAATTGCACAGGAAAGGAGAAAAGAAGAAGAAATCAACGTGGAGGATTTTCTCTTTGAAGGAATTGCACGCAGCTACGAACAATTTTAACTACGACAACAAGCTTGGAGAAGGTGGATTTGGCAGTGTTTATTGGGGTCAGCTATGGGATGGATCTCAAGTAATGAACAAAGTTTCTCCCTCCATTCCTTTTTGTTGATCTAACTGTCTTGGTAAATTAGTTTACTCTGACCTTAGTTTTTAATTGATCAAGTAAAAATAGTTGATAACCTGTAAAATCATTGATTTGGGTACCTAAGTGCTGGAAAACAATCCTTGGAATGAAACTCGTGTGGGTCTTAAATTTGCGGATACCTAAAGTTTGGAATTTCATGATTATGACAATCAACCATTGGGAGGTTTGTTGTCTGATGTGACAAAAAACCCTGAAGTTGGGAAAGTAACAAATCTTCTTTGAGCACTAACTTGACACTCCAAAAACCAAGTCAATAGCACCCAGAAAGGATTATTTAGATTTAAATGCTCCTTGGAGGATGAATTGCACACTCCCCGCAGATCATTGTGAAAGGTTAGAGACTGGTGTGGGATGAGCTAACTGAATAAAAGCAAGCTTTTGTGTAGCTTTTTCATGTGATCATATTGAGGCCATCTGCGCCACCGAAAGGAGAGAGAACCACAAAAACTTTATAGAAAAATAGAAAACTTAAAGAAAAGAAGTGATGCCATCATCGATCCCATATAATGAGAAGGGTAACCCTGAACTTTTATGTTTTCGTGTGCTATTCACATTGGGATAAATGTCAGCCCACTTTCTTCCCGCTGTAAAGAAATTTCTGCTTTTGTGAAGTGCACAGCTCAACTGTAACATAGTTGGAAGCTGGAAGTCCTTAGTAGCTAAGTAGGTGTGCCAAGAGTTCCTGTATTGCTTTGCCTTGCGTTGTTTTATTTGTTTACAATCCCTGCCAGAAAATGTTATCAGATGTTTTATTTGTTTACAATCCCTGCCAGAAAATGTTATCAGATAAAGCCTCTCGAACTCTAGCATGTATAGTAGGTGAAAACCCGATGCTTTTGTCGTTGGCATCTTCTTTTGCACCACAAAAATATATTATGACTTAGTTTACAGGGAAAGAAGCCATGCTTTCATATATTTTCATTCCAGTGTATACCGGGTATGAGATTTTCCAGGATTAGTTTTATGTAATAGACCAGAATTAAGGTTCTCATCTGCTACTTATAAATAAGTTGTATCCTTATCGGGATTCTAATGTATAATGAAAATAGCCACTCATGTGGATATAACTAGAATTCTACGAAACCACAGGAATCCTTGTGTTTGTTGTTCTTGATTGCTTTTCTTGATTGTTTGATGTCACCACGACATGTTCATAACATGACACGCTACTTAGAGTTGTTATTACAAGCGTTCTTCCTCCCAAATATGATCTTAAGCTTTCATTTTCCATTTCAGCCATGCAATGTAAAATTTACTTGGCTTTGCTGTTATCACTGCTGCTCTCAAGACTTCCTTCTTGTCTATTATAGAGACTAGATTCCTTTCTGACAAATATATTTGCAGATAGCGATTAAAAGGTTAAAGGTTTGGAGCAATAAAGCAGATATGGAGTTTGCTGTTGAGGTTGAGATTCTGGCACGAGTACGGCACAAGAATTTGCTAAGTTTACGAGGCTATTGTGCCGAAGGACAAGAGCGTCTGATTGTATATGACTACATGCCTAATCTGAGCTTACTCTCACATCTCCATGGGCAGCATTCAGCTGAATGTCTTCTTGATTGGAACCGGCGGATGAACATTGCAATTGGCTCTGCTGAGGGAATTGCGTTAGTATAGGTTCAATACTTCTTTTATCATTCTTTCATTGTCACTTAATTAACCTTTCAAAGTATTTTATTCAGCTATCTTCATCACCATGCGACCCCACATATAATTCACAGAGACATTAAAGCGAGCAACGTGTTGCTAGATTCAAATTTCCAAGCTCAAGTTGCTGATTTTGGATTTGCGAAGCTAATACCGGACGGTGCGACGCACGTAACCACCAGAGTCAAAGGTACTCTTGGCTACCTTGCGCCAGAATATGCAATGTTAGGAAAGGCATCAGAGAGCTGTGATGTCTACAGCTTTGGCATTCTTCTGCTTGAGCTTGCTAGTGGCAAGAAACCAATTGAGAAGATCAGTGCAACGATGAAGCTAAAAGTCACAGAGTGGGCTCTGCCTTTGGTACGTGAGAGGAAATTCAGCGAACTCGCAGACCCAAAACTAAATGGGAAGTACGAGGAAGAAGAATTTAAAAGAGTTGTCTTCATTGCACTTGTCTGTGCTGATAGTCAACCTGAGAAGAGACCTACCATGCTTGAGGTGGCTGAGCTACTGAAAGGAGATTTGAAAGAGAAGTTTGCTGCTCTGGAAATTGATGAATTGTTCAAGAGTCCTCAAACTGCAGATTATGATGATGGGATGTCCATTGCAGAAGACAGTTCAGACTTCATCTCAGAGGAAAAGGAATCAAAACAAGAAACTGGAAAAAGTTGCGCTCTAGCCCCCAAATAACTACGTCGTGATGGTGGGTGGCTAGATTGGCATGGTTATGAGGGTTATGGAAATAGATTTTTGATTTGGATTGTTTTCAGTTCATTGGCGGAGTGACTGTTTTTAAAGGATTGCTGCCTATTGAATTTAAAGGGTGGTTTGTGTTATGAGATTTATATTTGGAGTTTTCAGTTGTACTTTTGACCTTGTGGAAGTATCTGAATACAATTAAACGCAGAGTTTGGTGTCATATATATAGTCTTTGAATTTCTTGATTTAGGCCGTCTATTAGCCATGAAAGAGCTGTTGATGGCAGAGTTAACTCGTGTATGCACAAAAGCTGTTTTCGTGACTCAAACTCATAGTACCAAAGTCATTCACCTAAGCCCTCCTCACCATATTTACGATAATACTGCGGCAGCATAACACATCCAGAGCAGCAGGTAGGACAAAAGAAAAACAGAATCAAATCTAAGCAAAAACCTCATAAGAGGCTAGAACATTCCATTTCAGAACATATATGTATATACAACTAGTACAGAAAATTGTTGCTACAATAGTTTACAGATCCAATCCGGTGAAGCACTACCGTATCGGGATACTACATTGTTAGAACACATGATTTTCGCATTGCTTTGGGAACCACAGTTGAAACGACGAAACCAAGAATATGCGAGTTTTAGGAGACAAAAGTGTAATAGGAAAGCTAGCTACAAATACTGAACTTATGTGAACGTATCCTCACGATCACCCTCTGCTGTGTCACCCTCCTCCAAATTGCTAAATTCCAAAAAGTGAGTCGGGCGATGGTCCTCGTGATAGTACTCCCGAGGCGCCCCCAGTTTTATCCCATACTTCATGCTTACAGTATGTTTCACCCCCATGAAATTGTAGTTCCAGGGGCCATTGTCCGGGATCTGAGTAAATTCCACAAAATGACCCAATCAGCTACATGTTAAAAAAATATAATATACTAAATATAAATGTAAAAACCAGCATCATCCATGATATAATTGCATTTTTTAGCCAAATGAAACTGTTCTTTGTGAAAATACAGTAGCACACTTCAAACATCCTCACCATGTAAAAACCAAGGAACCGGTCACTCAGGAGCATCTGGACCTTCTCATAATGAGTTGGGAGATAGCCATGTGGATTGCTTCCAGTATCCTTATTGGCACGTCCCCACTCATAACCTGACGGCGTAAGCTTGTATGCAGTCAACGAGCAGGACCCCGGAGTGAAGCTGCAAGTCAATATAATACACTTTTCTCCATCCCATTGCTTGCTGTTCTCCAGAATTCGAGCATGATTAGTCAAATCCTACATATACATACACTCGGGTCAGAAACCATTGCACAGCAACATCATCTAAGATAAATTCTGTACCCATCTGTAATCCAAATCAAACAACTGAAAGCCTCATATTGAAAAGGGGGGGAAAGTAAAACCTGTGGTGACAACTGAGGAAGCTCATTTGGCTGTGTATGCATCCATCCCAAAGGTTCCAAATCATTTAGGAAGTCATGCTCGGGGAGCGCTGATGGGAGGTGCACTTGCTGATGGGTCCCCCACTGTGGTGGCATGGCAATACAACGAATTTCCTTCACCTGAGGATTGTCTGGAGGACTTATGCCATACAAGTACCCTGCAATTTGAGTCCGCAGATCTGCAATGCATATGAACTTCTTCAAAATATTTTTGGGCATGATATAAGTGTAACCCGTTTCCTGCATCAATAGATGTATACTAATGTTAGGGATACTGGACCATATTTTCATAAAAAAGATATTAAAAGCCATCTTGTGTCCAACAGAGAAGGAGAGACATAGATAAGTACCTTTATGTCCTCTGAATTCACATATATATGATTCACTCGGAGATAGAGATTTGTAGCAGAAATTGCTCTCACACGCCAATCAGTTTTAGACCCAAATGCAGCTTGCTCATATGGACTTGTTGTAGTGACAATGAGTTCATCACCATGCACATTAGTAGTCCTTGTAGTGACTGCTGTCAGCTGACTTGCTTCCTTTGCCTGTTTCTCAATCTCTGCTATCTGCTGTCGCTGTTGCGAAGGAGGAGTTATCTCAGCTCCAAGAATTATATCACGTATCTCAGATTGAGTCAGTGCTGATGTGTTCACGTTGTTCTTCTTGGCATAATCGGACAGTATAAGATCTCTCAGAGCAACCTCAACCTGCACCACAGAATACCTTAGATAATAAGATCGACTCTCAAAACACTACAGCTATATTTTTGCCAATAACGGATCTAGATTTTTCCCCCAGTCAGAACTAGTACAAGTATTTTGGACCAAATGGAAGAAAAGCCACCATATAATTCGTGCAGCTGTTGACAAGCTTACCTTAACCCATTGATCATCTGTTAGAGAAGGCCAGATATGATGAGGCTCAGTGATGATTGTCTTGTCAGGCTTTAGTAACATTTTAGCCTTCTCATTGTTCACATGAAGTGCACGCAAAATCAAGATGAGTCTTGAGAATGCTGTATAGGATGAAATACTCTTCAACCAATCATCATATATATTGAACAAAACCATTTGTGGTTCGGTAGCCTTCAATATCAGATCACCAAATTTCTCTATCTTCAAGCAAGCCTGGAATGGCAGCTGCAGCTCACTTCCTTTGATGACAATATTAGGGAAATCAAGCAAATGCACTTCCAGGGGATCCAACATTCCTTTACGCGTCACAATAATTTGCTTTGGTTGTTCTTCAACTGGCAAGGACCGCACAAGCGCAGCCACTTCCTCCGCTGTTTTCCATTTGGCCAGCTGGCCAAGACGCTTTTGTCCTGCCCACACACTTGTGTGAATGACCTGCAAAACATATACACATATTATATACCTATTCCACAACAAAGTGCCCACTGACAGAAACTACCTCTAAAATTGAAGTTCACGGAACTAACCTTCAGAAACAGCTGCCCTGTCCTCGGATTAAATATAAAGATGGCTCCATTAATGGGTTTTGTTGTGAGATTTCCTTCAAATGTCTTGTGAATTGTGACACGATACACGTTTGTGTCATCAACAAACCAGATTATTTGGTTGCTGAATATCTCCCCATAGTTCTGAGACGATAGATATGGCTCTGTAGGTTCCGAAGAATACAACTGCAACCCTTTTCTAATACGCTCCCTCAGAACATATAACGCTGGATTGGACTGCACACGCAAAAGATCAATAATTTGGTTTTTAAACCCATCATTCCATTATTAACTATTCAGTAGATGTCATGCAAATTTTTAAAGCTAATACAAAGGTACCTTCATAATCTTATTCATGGCCTGAGCAAGAAGCGGTTTTGAACCAGGGAACCAGTTTCCAAATGCAGAATGCAAGTTATATGCAAGATCAAGACCAATCATCACTCCTGCAACAAAAAAAAAAAATAATAATGAATAAATACCAAACAAACTATTCAATCCTGAAGCGGAAGTGTCTGGACTAGGTCTCATATATCAAGCAAAAATGACATACCAGTTGGTGATGGATAGATAGACATGTTATCTGTTGTATAATCCATAAATTTTGCACGGGTGTAACGCTCAATATCATGAGAGTCATAATCACCCCAACGGAGCTGCACATCTATCCAATATTTATTGCTTGCTTTCTGATCGAACACATCCTTAGATTCAGCCACTAGACTGGGCTTTGACATGGGCCATCTATGCGCAGCAAAAAGGAGAATGTCGGCACAAGAGCTATTCATTTTGTAGCTCTTCCTTGGATGGATTGTTTCCTTCTGCACAGTCTCAATTTCCAATGCATCTAGCTCTTGATCCAAAACCTGGCACAGGTCCATCACCACACTCTCATGTACCTTTTGCCACAAGTGTGCACGGAATATCTGAATCAGAGAGATCTTCAGAGTTGGTATCTTTCCATGCATGAATATGCCAGTCAGATCCAGCTGCACTTGGAAACCAACATAGACATTGGCTCGATTTATGGTAGGCGACCACCAAAGGGTAAACCTACGGTTAGGGATTTGGTTCAGCCCAGATCTTTGTGCATTAGTCAGCTTCTTATACTTCATGGACTCCTCAAAACCTGATGCCTTCTCCCAGAAAAGACCCTCCCAGGTAGGGAAACTGAAACATCAATGTGAATAAGTCAGTTACAGAAGCAATACAGACTAGATTCAAAACCATGACATTTTTTCGAATCAACCAATCATCTAATTCCTAGAGTTATTCTACTGAGTTATTCTAATAGCAGAAACTCTGATGATACTAATTGTTACAACCCAAGATGGACTGGTCAACGAACCTGAGGCCCGAGCACAACAAGAATTATACAAGAAGTTTTCCAATTCAATAAAAAGGTATTTCTTATCAGAAAGCATAGAGTATGAGGTGCATTAGCTTCTTATATGTAGTTAATTTTTTCCCTACTCCATTTTGTCAATATCTACTACATTAAATTCTAGCAAATGGCAACATAAACGATGAACTGATGATATTGAAAATGATGAAGGCCATATATATGATGAACTGATGATATTGAAAACAAAGATGGCAATATAAACGATGAACTGAAGATATTGCAGGCGATGCAGAAAACAGAAGGGGTAAAAAGAGAGGAAAGAGAAACATACTAAGTTCCTTTGAATAATGTATGCTCAAGAATTCCTTCAACACCTCCAAGTGCTTGGATGACATCAGTTCTATAGTTGTTCAAGTTCCACAATTTTCCATCATGCCTCTGGTGTGTCCACCAAAATGGGTTTTGTTTCAGAACTTGGTACTGTTTAAAGTCTGTCCTAACTCTCCATCCTTTGTCATATGCCAGGGTGTGGCGGTCCTTCTGAAACAAAGTATTGATACGAGGTATTCCACGATCCCATGAATCCTGCAAAGCAAAGAGAGTAAGCACTTAGACCATACCAAGTACATTTGGGTGTACTATTTGACAATCAATTATAGCCACAAATCACGAAATAATGAGTATGCTTATAGATGGAACTCCTTGAACATGCAGACATAAGATGATTTCAAAAAAACATCCTTGCCAATTTTCTTTCTTTATTACTTCAATTTGTGTGACAGTGCACAGAGAGAGAGATCCATATAGCCATAAAACGTACTTCCAAATCTTCAAGGGTTAAACGCCTATTTTGTGATTGAGCTTCCTGCCTCTTCAGAGCATATTCTGCCCAAACACGCTGTGAATCAATGAACTCACTCTCCCATGGCTGTCAAGAACCCAGACAAAGGTTAGAACACAACATTTGAAATATTCAGGATACATGACTTAGAAGCATTCACCACACCTGTATGTAACGGTACAGATTAGGAATCAACTGGTCCTCTTCATGACTCATTCCACTCCTAAAATGTGTTACACCAACATCTGTTTGCTGACTGTAACGCAGATCACTCTGTGGAATCAATATGTGACCCATTGACAACATACCAAGGCCTCCAATTTCCTTAGGTGTGTAGAAAATAACAGGAGGGAACCTGTAAGCAGGAAATAATTCAGAGTCTAATCAAAAACAAAAAATATAACAGTGTACAATTTAAGTAAAAGATTATACAGAGCATAAATGTTACCTGCTAGGCATTTTAGAATTCAACCCAATCTTAATACGGGTCTGAATTTTATTTTCACATTTCACCAGCAAATCTAACAGCTCTTGGGTATGTACTGTTGCTTCACGGAAATATGTCATTAGGCCTGTCAGGAAAAAAAAGGTAAATCTATTAGCGAAAAGGACATCACTGGATGGGTAGTAGGATGCATCATAATGGACAAGCATTACAAGTAGGCAGTCAGAGAAATAAAATAAAAAATTACCAATAAGAGCTGTATTCCATTTGTTTACAATCTTCGTGAATGTTGTTGAACCTGACGACATAAGAATCTGTCTCACGCGATTCTCAAATACTTTCATATGTTCATCATCAACCCGTAAGAACGCAACTGCAGTGCGTTCTTTGGTCTGCTCATTCTGCAGATTCCAAACTCCATCTCTTGTATTGCTGAATGCCTCTTGAGTCATCCTTATCTTGGGCAGAATACGAACTTCAAATCCGCACCTGAATGCCAGAAGTATAGCAAATATCAAGACTTGATCCATGAAAGAGGCCCAAATCACCCTCAATCTACAGTGAACTAGAGAAGTACAGAAGCGGGAAAAAATTGAAAACTACATATATAAACTAACTACCAAATGAGCATTAGTAGGAAGCAGATGACACACAGCATAGGAAAGAGTGGTAAAAATTCCTTCTGCTAGGGAGCAATATACATTCACAATCTCACATTAAACCACACAAGCATATAATTAAGTCCAAAATTGCCACAGCATGCCAAAAAAAAAAAAAGGAACGGGACACTAACCACAGGATTTCTACATCCATTGACGTGAACCTCACAAGGAAATGTATGGGACATATAGTCAATGACCCTAAAGTTAACGTGTTCATATATAAGAAAGCTACATCATGATAGAATACCCCCAAAAATTCCAAAGCAATGATACTAGGCAGTTATTGTCAATCACAAGCATATATTCTTAAATTTAGAGGAATGCATGTATTGTAGGAAAGCGCCCTCCCATAACAAAAAAAAAAATGTGACAACAGATACATACATGCTGAAAAGCAAGTTTGGATTGTCTTTGCTGTAAACAGAAACAAAGCTATTCTCCCACTCCAGTGTGGTGATACTTCGAGGAAGACGGTTCTTCATGTCCCAGAACACACTTCTCCCAAGATTGACTGAAACAGAGATTAAATAAAAGCAATCAGTATCAACTGTCCCCCCAAAAACTTCAATCTTTCATTAAACAAAACTGAGAAAAGAATTTTACCGTCATGCTTCATCAGCCTCATTCGTGCATCTCTTGGCCAGCACTTCTTATTGTTATAACCTACCATATTTTCATTGTTGGGATCAGGATGCTCAGTAAGATATCGCTGGATAAGATCCCGAGCCTCTTCATGAGTGAAGCGGAATAATATATGCACTTTGTCAATATACCGAGAGTACAACCGAATCGGGTGTCGTGTTTCTACTTTAGTGTCCCAGTAAGTAATGAACTCATTTGGCATCTGTGGTGGACCAGCAATTTCACTGGCTCGGGTCAAACCAAGGAGCAAAAGATCCAGCACGAGTCCATAATACTGTACAACAAAAGAAGCAAACTGAAGACCACGAATAAGACCATATGAATTTGTGTGGCTCATATCCTTGTAGGACAACACGACATTGTTTTTTGCAGTGACATAATCAGCAATATTGTGGTCAAGGACCAGTCGTAGAAGCCTGCAAAAATATAAGATTATGAAAATCAATAGCAAATATGCCAATGCTAAATTCCATTATATTAATGGAAGATGAAACCATGCTCACCTGTTCAGCATGGTTAAATCGATCTTTTCAAAAAATTTCTCGAACTTAGTCTGAAGCATCACCACACACTGTCCTTCACTAGTATCCCATATGCCTTGCAAATTGTTTATGCCCTGACACCATTTGTAGACTAACAGCGGTGGCGGCTCTGAGTCTGCAGGCTTAATCCAATTAGGGAAGAGATGGCGCTTGTCACCTTCGTACCAGAGATACTGGTCAAGATACGCATCTGTGATCTTCTCCAGAGGTTCAATCTCGTAAACTGGAATTAAGTAACTGTACAAATCCATGAACTCAATGCCAACCTGCAAATGATAGTTCATTCTCAGTTCGCCACTCCTGTTCTAGCAGCAAGAATACAAATGGTCAAATAAAAATCATTCTCAGACATCACAAAACTTACTTCTTTGAAAGCACGCTGAGTGAGCAGATGACGCTTAATCCGTGACAAAGCCTCATGTGGATTGTCATAAGCTTGTTCAATGAGGCCCAACTCCTCTCTTTGTAGCTGATTTAACCTCACAGCCACACTATAAGACTCCTTCAACCTCTCGAGAGCGAGGATAAGAAGTTTTGTATCATGCTTGTACGACAATGGAGGGAATGGAATAGGGGAAAATTTTCTTGATTCCAACCAATGCACAGTGGTGGTGTATATAGCAACTGCTTCTTCTGGTGTCACATAAGGACCATCTTTCAGATAGTTGTGTTGACGTTCCTGTAAGAAGGGTAAAATGCCAATAAGCAAAGAAGGAACAGTCCAAACAGACGAAATACCATCAATGTACAAAAGATGGGGAAAAAAGCACACACTGAAAATAAAATATACACCTGTTCTGCCTTTAGCCAAAGGCGAGTCAACCTTCCAAGATTCTTTCGACAGACAGTTTTGTCAACAGTTGCACCCCTTCTAATACGCTCCCGGTTATAATGAGCAACATTTGTCCACCAATCAGCTTTTGACTTGACATAACGCAGAATCATGTTCTCTATGGGAACTGGTAAACCAGGCACCTTCCAAGGAATATTTGCTTTCCAACAGCGCCATGCTTCACTCAAATGCTGCAAAATGGTTCTTGCCTTATTCTGCTTAATGCCCTCTGTGGTTACAAGATACATTGTCAACAGCATAGAGAGAAGATGTGACATGAAAAAGGTACCAGAATTCTAAAAATCTACATGCAACAATAAATTCATCATGAATAATGTTTAATGGTGAGCAGAGTACCTGGCATGGCATCAAGAACATCATGCATAACAGCAGCACGAAGTTCCAAGTCGAAGTGGCTTTCAACACGTTGCTTAGTAACAGTCTTGGCCACACCTTTAGAATGACGCCCCTCAAATTGCCGTGCAAGTAAATTTCCCAACCATCTTTCCAGAAGAGGCACTATGCCACGAAGGAAGAACAACCAGACCCTCCACATAGGTGCCCAGAAGCCACATCCAGGTCCTTTCCCAACCGGCCCAGTATTGAATCGGTAATAAATCAAGTGCTTTAAATCTTTGCACATCCGAATTTGTCGCATAAGCCTGTACTTGTACCGGTACATACCCGTCAACTGACCAACATGTGAAAAGGTATACTGCAAGCCATCTGCCAACTGAAATGCATCGACATTTCCCAAGCGGAACTGAATATTGGCATCAACTACAAGCTTTGTTAAACGCAGGATTTCACGACACAAATGAAAAGCATTACCAAACCGCGACTTCTTGCGTTCCTTAGTAGTGAGAGTCTTCACAGGCTTCAGATTGAAGTTATAATCAAGGTGAAGGTAATTCAAATTTTTCCTATGTATCAGTAGATTCAGCATATTGTACCCTTGCTTACAAACTTGGAGACCTGCTTCAGCCCAATCAAGTACTGTTGTCTGAAAAAACTTAGTAGCTTGGAGAGACCGGAACAAATGCTTCTTCTTCTGAGCCTTAGGTGGCCTGTGATGCAGCTCATTCAACACAAAACATTTCAACAATTTTTGGTAACTCACCCGGACTTTTACTGGGTATGATGGCGGACTGCAAAAATATATAAACATAAAGGAATGAGATCACATATACAATATGAATTCGCATACTACACGTCTGAACAGCGTAAGAAAATAAAAGAATAAAAAGTAAAACAAAATCTCACCAATGCTCCTTGTACCACTCTGACACAAGAGGTATATCTTCAGCACGTCTCATCCGACCAGATCTCATGTTAAAAGGGCGTGGGGCAAACAAAAGTGAAATACCAGCAGCTGTAGTATCAGTATATATAGGAATGTCTGTGAGCAATGGTTCAACCCCCTCTGGCAAATAGAAATCATCATCATCATCCTCTTCATAAGCTTTCTTCTCACGCCTATCCTTATTGGTGCTGGTTATTGGATGTATTAGAGGATCATAATAAAATGCAGGTAAATCAGGATCCTCAGTTTTTATATACATAATCATAGGAGTGTGATATACACACAGCTTCACTTTCCTAGGCCTGTTGTTATATAGATGAGGAAATGCAATCCGGTACTCTGTCCTGAGAGGTGACCGGATGATAAGTTTGTTGATGTCGTTAAATTCATTCCAATCCTCATCCCCTTTCTCCATGTCACGATACAAAGGTTCAAACTTAGGACCACCTGTAGGAAAACAAGTTCGAGGAAATATTCAGAAACAGTAAAAAAACTGAGATTCAACACTTGGTTTTAATATAAAAAAACATAAATTCCACATTGACGAGCACAATGTGAAATACTACACATGATATATAGACTTCACTAATGTTTATAATGAAGGAAACTAAACAAACTAAGTAAGGAGAACATTACCAGGTATGCACATGTTCAGTGCTTTAGCTGTAAAAAATGACTCCATGTCGAACAAGTAAAAATAGTTGCGGTCTATCAAATCAGAAAGCAGCTGTCCTGCAAGTCGATGGAGTGTTGCCATGATTGGAAGGGAGAGATGCCATTTCCGGTAACTTGGACCATTGATAAGCTTTGTTTTCACAAGAGGTTTATGGTCATAAAACCAAGTATATACAGCAGAATCTTCTTCCTCATCCATCTCTAATTGAATTGGCTCCAGAGGATCCACATCCAAAAGATTATCAGCATAATCTAATGGAGGCTCCTCGTCATCAAAAGGGGGAAATCGCATTCTTTTGAAATGTCGCCGGTCCCTTTTTTCCCTTCTCATCATGATCCACATTGTACCCCACTGTAAAAATTCATTAGAAATCAATCAAACTCAAAAATATTAAGTGATAAAAAAAACTTAATACACAAGGGAAAAAGGTATACAAGAAATTTATATCAGAAGATTAACATTGAAGGGGGAAATTTTGTTATCCAAAAAAAAAAAAAAAAGGTTAATAGCACTTTTATCCTCTAAAGTATGCATTTTTTGTTTGCTTAACCCTCATTGTATCAATTTGGTCTCTAAAGTATTCAATCCGTATCATTTTGATTCCTAATCAGACAATTCATCAAGTTTTTCGACAAAAGTGACTATGTGTCATTTTTTTTAGACGATATCACATGCCCAACACATAATCATTCCGTCAAAAACTAAAAGATCCGTCTATGTAGGGACAAAATGACACGAGTTGAATACTTTAGGAATTAAATTGATAAAATTGATACAATGAGAACTAAACCGACAAAAAATTTATACTTTAGGGACCAAAAGTGCTATTAACCCAAAAAAAATCCACCAAAAAGGACAGGTGAGGCTATAGAATAGACAAAAACAATCTATATCAATCCGCAGGTAACTACTCTTAAGTGATTAGACCTAGGACAATAGAAATAGGGCACACATTTCTAACTCTGGTTACACAGCTAGTGTTAGTGCCAGTTTGGTGAAGTTACATTAGTGAACAAGGGAAGTCAGAATACATAAGCTCTGCACTGCCTTTATCCTTCCTTTAATGAGGTCCCCGCAGGGGAAGGAGTGTGTGTGGGTGCATGAAAGAGAGAGAGAGAGAGAGAGATATTTTAAATAACACAAAAAGAGAGAGATTTTAAATAACATACCTGAGCCAAATAGATAGGCTCAACCACCCATGGAATTTCATTCACAAATGTGATGGCACCAGATATGTGGTATAAGATCTTCACATCACGAACCTATAGTCACGTAACCATAGAAAGATTATGCAAGTTCAAATGTAACAGAAGCAGTATATAGCATATACAAAGTAACAGCGCATATCACATTGAGTCAAAGGATAAATACCTGTTCCCAGGGCATTGGCATATTCTCGAGCAGTTTGTAGACTGCATGTGGAACAAATTTAAGAGCTCCTAAATATACACGTTTATCATGACGATATTTTTTGGAGGACATATCACCATGGTCCCTGTAAAAGCATATCAAATTCATTTATTAATTGGCACAATTGGTACTAAGCTTACTATATTCTGCAAGTATACATCTTCTGGCAAACACAGTAAACTAACATGTTCTATAGTGATCAATTCTCATATTTCTGAAAAAGAAATGCAATAAAGAAAATGTTACAAATGACATGATTTTTCTGCTGTATAAAAAAACATATTGCTTCTGGGTGAAAAATGCTAAAGAAAGAGGTCAGATCTAGAAAACTGAGTGTGAGTATTATATTTATTTTGTATATTTCATTCGAGGTAGTCTAATCTTCTTCTTGTCATAGGTTTTCTATTCGCCCTTATAAATATCATCTCTGGCAACTATTCTTACATCGTGGAATATGAGAGTTGTGGACAAATTTTTTCTCTCTATTTTTTGTATATATTCTCCACTTTATGGAGTTTGGTTTAGGTTTTTCTTGCATACTGATCAGTGGCTCAAGATTCTCGCCATTTAAATTCTCCACCAATTTCAATTCAATTTGTTGGCACGAGCAAGCCAGAGTACCACATCAGGAGTGCAAAAAACCTGTATCTCACATTTACAAGACTAGGGCCACCTAAGGTCGGTTTAGATAATTGAAGGACCTTTCCAATCAGTCAATTGGTTTTGAATCGGATACCTCAAACACTGAGATCACCAAAGCGTAGCTATTTTAAGCAACCAATTCAAAGACTAGTATCTTTCAGCTCATAACAATAGACTCAACTGTTTCCGTGGAGAGAGAGGGAGGAATATTTGGATGTCCATTCGAAAACATAAGACACAAAATAAAAATTATTCTCTACATACATATACAGTCACTAGCAACAGCATGGGCCAGTTTGAATGACTATCCAAATCCCATTCGCAACACACACGGGAGAATATCCAACAGAATATCTAAGAATCTCTTCTACTTGAATTCCTGAAGTTCTGAAGACATGTGAAACGAATGCATCAGATTAACAAGAATGCTAAGACACCCAAGTTCAACATCCAAACACACATCTCAGAACAAACAGAAACTTCAAGCAAATAAATTCAACAAAACAGAAGACCTTATAAGGCTTTCTTATCTATTTGTATTTAACAATTCCAGTAGATATCCTTGGTTCAGTCGACTTGGCTACAAGTTGAATTTCCAGCAATAATAGTAGATTGGGAGGTGTTCTAAAGCCCTTCTCATGTTCTTAGTTTCCAAAGACAATCGGTTCATCCTGACCGGGTCCTTTCTGTCCCCTGTAGAAATAGGGGAGGCAATTTCTGGTACATATAGAACTAGTAACAGTAGATTTCATAGAGCAGAAATGCAGTCAAGCAAACAAGCCACAAAAGATGTAATAGAGTCATCGTCAGAACTAGATAGGTCCCCCTTTCAAATGAACGCATAAATTTAAGTATTAAACAAACATCTAGGTAAACAAAAGCCGAAAACTCACCGAATGATCTTTCTAACATGTTCCTGAGGCATGTCCTCCTTCTGCGACTCGACGAATCCGAACTTCCGTTTATCGCCATACCGCTTAGAGTTCAATTGCATCCACTTCCTCGCTTTTTCTTCGAGCTGAGCCTCCGAAGGCAAAACAGTGTAAGAAGGCGGAAGCGGTGGCCCTCCTCCTCCAGCAGCAGTTCCTCCACTGGTCCCCGGAGGCATTATCGGACCGCCACCGCTTACACTGGTCCCTGGTGGCGCAATCGGTGCGGCGGCGTTGTTGTTACTCCACATATCTTGTCCTCCGTTACTGTTCCACATCTTCTGAATCTAATCTAGAAAAACTCTAACACCGACTAAAAATGATCGGTCTCTCGCAACCTCTACACATCAAAAAGAATGAACAAGAGAAAAGCGTTTCACCCAAGTGTTTGTGTTTTGCGTTCTCCGATTTGTTAAAGGGCGGTTTCTAGGGTTCTATCGAGGCGTCTGCGAGTGGGAAAGACTGTTCCCTCAGTCAATTAGAGAGAGAGAGAGAGAGAGAGAGAGAGAGAGATGTAACTGGGACTGCAGCCTTTAGGCTACAAGAGAGGGATAAAGGCGGTCACACGTGACCGACTATGAATCGAGGGATTTACTGTTAAATAGTTGGCTGGTTATATGAGCCTAAAAGCACAATTCTGTTCGACTTCAAACTGGTGATACTTTAAAATTAAAATCACTTTATGTGGGCTTCGGGTATTTTAAATGGGGTATATTCCTCAAAACGGGGCTCATGGGTCGGTTCGGGCCATATTTTTTGGTGCTTTAGCCTGTCAACGGGTCAGTCTCATACCAGCCCGGCAAAAAATATCGAGGACTATGGTCTATCATAAATCTATCAAAGTCTGATACGACACGATTAATCAACACAAATCAATAAAAATTAAGCGAATTTAGGTGAGACCTTAACTGGTTCGGATGGTAAACGAATTAACCCGTNATCAACACAAATCAATAAAAATTAAGCGAATTTAGGTGAGACCTTAACTGGTTCGGGTGGTAAACGAATTAACCCATTAGACACCTTTAATAAATAGGTCGTGTTCGGGTAGGGGTGCAACTTAGACAAATTTGACGGGTTGGACAATTAATTCTAGTCTAACTCTAGGTATATAATCTTCAACTCTAACCCTAACCCTAACACTAACTCTAACCCTACATCAAGTTGATGGACTCAACTCAAGCATTGCCCGAGTTTAATACATGTAGGGTCGGGTTGAATTCTGATTAATAATTTCGGGCTGATTTCGGGTTAATGTTCTAAACTTGATACATATATTATATAATATTCATCTAAATTAACAACCAACTACAATATTAAGAACTTAATGTTTGAAATAATGCAACCACAACCATACAGAGTACAAATAANAGTTGGCTGGTTATATGAGCCTAAAAGCACAATTCTGTTCGACTTCAAACTGGTGATACTTTAAAATTAAAATCACTTTATGTGGGCTTCGGGTATTTTAAATGGGGTATATTCCTCAAAACGGGGCTCATGGGTCGGTTCGGGCCATATTTTTTGGTGCTTTAGCCTGTCAACGGGTCGGTCTCATACCAGCCCGGCAAAAAATATCGAGGACTATGGTCTATCATAAATCTATCAAAGTCTGATATGACACGATTAATCAACACAAATCAATAAAAATTAAGCGAATTTAGGTGAGACCTTAACTGGTTCGGGTGGTAAACGAATTAACCCATTAGACACCTTTAATAAATAGGTCGTGTTCGGGTAGGGGTGCAACTTAGACAAATTTGACGGGTTGGACAATTAATTCTAGTCTAACTCTAGGTATATAATCTTCAACTCTAACCCTAACCCTAACACTAACTCTAACCCTACATCAAGTTGATGGACTCAACTCAAGCATTGCCCGAGTTTAATACATGTAGGGTCGGGTTGAATTCTGATTAATAATTTTGGGCTGATTTCGGGTTAATGTTCTAAACTTGATACATATATTATATAATATTCACCTAAATTAACAACCAACTACAATATTAAGAACTTAATGTTTGAAATAATGCAACCACAACCATACAGAGTACAAATAAACATAGAATAATGATAAATATTTCACATTCTGAAGTTGTAAAATTACAAATTAGATACAAAGCTATGAAATAAACAGTTTTCACATTCTAAAGTTCATGTTAACACGTGTTTTATAGCTCTTAAGAAAGTATCACTAATGATAATGAAATTATTCAACAGGTGAAAAAAAGTAAAACTACTCTCCTCCTGTTTACTTTCCTCCCTTTTTACATGTTGTTTTTCTCTAAAAAAGGGGGTTTAGGATAATGAAAAGAGGTATGGAGTGAAAAGATTTCTGAAAATTAACTCTGAAAAAATTAATTTTGAAAATTAACATGAGGAGAAGAAAACCCTAATCGCCATTCATGGGTGTAGGGTATCATGAGGACACCGACATAAAATTCTCGCGAAATGAAGATTTTATAGATTATTGAGAGGTGTAGGGTATCATCCATATGAAAATAAAAATGAAAATTGTATACCTGATGAAGACGAAGAAGGCTACTCTGATCCGCTTTGAGAGAGAGAAAGATAGACAAAGATAAAGAAGGCTGAGACTCTAACGAAGATGTAAGAGGCTGAGAGAGGAAGGGGGCGCAGGGAAAAGAGATCTGAGAATGAGAGATAGATTTGAGAGTGAGAGTGAGAGACCGAGAGTGAGAAAGACTGACAGTGAGTGAGGTCTTGGGGGAGGCGTAGCGACGGAGCAGACTTGAGATTAACCCTAAGATAAAATTGTATTTATATAGTAGTAATTCGGGTTAAACTCGATAACTCAACCAGAGACCTGCCCAAATTGAAAGTTTGATATTTTTAACCCAAGCCCAACCTAAGTATTAAAAATTCTAACCCAAATCCTAATTTTTTTGGGTTGAAATCGGGTTAGTTCGCCCAAGTTGCACCCCTATGTTCGGATGAGTCCTGTCAACCCATTTATCACTCGTTTACCAGTTAAAATAAAATTAATATAATAATAAATTAATAATTATTTTAAAAAATTAGGCAAATTTTTTTTTAGTGATAGCCACATATTTTTTTTTTAATTTAGTGACAGTCACAAAAAACTAATAATAAATTAAAACTAAGCGAGTTACACGAGTATGTCGTGTTACCTGTTTATTAAATAGTTCGTGTTCATGTTGAGGTTTTTCACCAATTTATTAAACGGGTCTTGTATGGATTTACATGTTTTTCACCGATCATCCATTTAACTCGACATGTAACTGTTTAATCCGACATATTTGACACCCCTAGTCCTAATAGACTTTAATAGTGTGTTTTATTGGGTGAATAATAAAATGAAAGGATGGAAAATAGAAGTAATACACATTTTATCCTTTAAGGGATGAATCATTTATTTCTTCTTTTGTGTTTGGTAGAAGGGATAAAAAAGATTGATTTTTTTGTATTTAGTAGAATAGAAAAGTGGAAGGATAAAAAATATATAAAATGCATATTTTATCATTACATCTATATATACCATACAAAAAGTATAATTTTTTATTATAAAATTACACTTTTAAAAAAAATTATAACTNAATATATAAAATGCATATTTTATCATTACATCTATATATACCATACAAAAAGTATATTTTTTTATTATAAAATTGCACTTTTAAAAAAAATTATAAATGTTCAAGAGAATGTCATGATCAATATAGGTACCAATAATCGATCATGAACTTCTTTTGAACAATTGTTAATTTTTTTTATATTACAAGGTGTCTAGGTTTGTGTCGATTATTCTCTCAAACTCTGAGTTATCTACTGTAATTAAAGTTAGTTTAAATACATGTCACCTGATGAACAAGGGTAACTGACCCTTTGGTGGTGTGGAAAGCATCAAACTTGAGACCTGTTACTTGCAATAAGGCCTATAGGCTTGACCACTGAATCACCCNTTAATTTTTTTTATATTACAAGGTGTCTAGGTTTGTGTCGATTATTCTCTCAAACTCTGAGTTATCTACTGTAATTAAAGTTAGTTTAAATACATGTCACCTGATGAACAAGGGTAACTGACCCTTTGGTGGTGTGGAAAACATCAAACTTGAGACCTGTTACTTGCAATAAGGCCTATAGGCTTGACCACTGAATCACCCCTAATGCTCCGTTTGATACAATAAAAAAATGAGAAGATGAAAAGTTGGAAGGATATAAAGTTGAAGGGATAAATAAAACATCATGTTTTGTAAAGAAGGAAAATAAGAAGGATAAAAAAGTGAATGGATTAATTTTTTTTCCAACTCACAAAAATCAATCCCTCCAAAATCAGAAGAAAAGTTGATAGAAAGTTAATAATTTGTGTTGAGATGCATCTTATTTGTCTATATATCTTTTTATTTATGCNGCCTAGCCAGAAGAGCAATCGAGGAGTATGGAGACAGATTGGAGTCATCCCCATTCACTGCCTGGGTTGAAAAGACACGTATCCTGAGTAAATTCACCATCCCGAACTTCAAGCTATACGACAAAAAGACCGACCCAGCCTCACATATCAGGCATTTTTGNGTATATATATATATATATATATATATTGAAGGGGTTAGACCTCATGATTACACGTGACAAAGCATTAAACGTGCTCACATGATGTTGATAAGACCAGTCACGTGATAAAGGATCGTCTATTGAGAGCTTTCCAACCGAGCCGAGCTAATGAAAGGTTCGGCAATATATTGGTTCTCTTTATGACCGAACTTATCAGTCTGTTTAGTTAAACAATGAAAGAGCACGGTTTGTACCAAGTCGAGTCCGGTAAAGTATTTAGCGTGACAATTGAGGAAATAGGTTTGTGCCAAACCGAGTTCCTTAATCTGTTCGGCTTAAATCAAGTATGCTCGGCATTTGATATGTCCGAGCTATTTTAGATAAACAGAAGGATAAAGATATGCCTATAACTTAGGCAATCAAATAAATGAATCGACAAAAATTGTAAATATCAAGAGGAATTATTGGAGAAATGTTAGCAACTTTCCAAACTGAATGACTAAATTGAAGGAAGATGTGTCACCTTAAACCTAAAATCGTGGAGACCCTTAGGGGATAATGATCTATAAAAGCAGAAGAGACCAAGGTGAAAGGTACGCTGAATTCTCCAAACTTAGCACAATTCTTTCTGTTTCATTACTGACTTAAGCATCGGAATCCCTTCAATCAAAGCATTTCGATCCTGGGCAGTTTATTCGTTTTGTAGGAAAGAGTTGAGAAGATTGTTCAGACTTCATTCCCATAAATTGTATCACACATTCAGAGAGGTATAATTTTTTGTCTCTACATTTTGGCGTCGTCTGTGAGAAAATCTTCATTCTTCAGAACAAAAAGCTACGATGTCAAGACTTAGAAGTGCAATTGGATAACCCGTAGGCAGTTTTGCCTTGGGGAACTTAGATCCTGTGACTCTTTCTTTTGACAACAACACAAGGTAGCATGCAGTTAGAAGCCCCTCTAGAATCCACGAAGGTGACGAG